TTTGCCTGGCTTACATTCATTTTAACGTTTGTTTCATTAACCAGTACCTTCTTGGGTTTTGAATCCTCGATGATCTTTACTTTGGCCATTTCAGACGTACTTCAAAATATTTGTTAAGATCAGCCTCGACGTTATCAAGTTTTCTGGGTGCTATAAGCTGATTTACTACATTTGATTTGTAAGCAGAGGCAAACTTGCTGGGATCAGGATGGTTATTGTTACTGTTTTTCCACCTATTAAAGAAAAAAATGCTCTAGGCAATTCTGTGATAAGTTTCTTGTTCTTAGAAATGTTAGACCGTGGTTGATGTGAACCTCCTTCCATAACTCTTCTACAGCCGCTATATAGAGTAACCAACCATCTGCAAAATACGGTCGACGAGACTGTGCCGGAAGCTTTGTAAATTGTGTTTCCTATAGTTAAAAGGATGTTTGTAGAATAAAAAAAAATCATTTCAGGAGTAACATTTAAAAAGGGTTTGAAAAAAAATTGAAAACAAAGGTTGTATGTGTAAACCAACAACATCATCGGGTAGGAGAAATTCTCCCGTTTCCAATAGTGGTATTGTTTTGCGTGGGTGTACTTCGCTTCACGTATGAAGGGCCTTACAACTTTTGTTTACAAAAGCTGTTGTGCCATTTTAAAATATTACACCAGATTTGTTCTTTCGTACCTTTTTTTCAAATCGAAGCATTCCTTGGGTATAAACTTCAAATTCATCAATTTGTCCTTAATATCGTTCAGGAAAGGCCAATGAGCAGATTTTTCTTGAAGAGGCCTCTTAAGATCCTGTGAATTAGTTAAATAAAATATGGGATATGTATGAAATCAGTTTTTAAAGCATGTAATTGGTATCACCAGCATACCTTCGTTTCATTGAAAGTAGATGAGTCAGCACAATCAAATAGTTTATCGAATTGTTCGCAATAACTAGCTGTGTTCAAGCACTCTGAAAGTAGCGTTTTGGTATGGACGTATGTTTTCAATCCTGCGCTGACTGATTCACTCACAGTTTGTGTAGCTAGACTAAATCTCATTTCAGAATAAGGAGCTAGCTCTACGTGGCTGTACGTTAATCTTGGCACCGCTCGAGGAATATGTTTCACGTCTTCGTTGTAGAGATCGATTATGCGCTACAGAATGTTTCCATCAAATACGGCGTTGTGCTAAAGCAAATTATTTCGGCTAGATTTGGCTAAATGTGGCGCATCATATGCACAACATATGGTCGTTCCCTTAAACACAACCCAAGGTCGTTGTACTGTTACACCGTATGTTCGAAATAGTGATCGATTTGACGAATTTTGGTCGCATACGAGCAACTTAGGGATAAAACCTGTTTGTTTCACACGTTTTATTGCTTCTTCAACAATCGTCTGCAGCCGTGCAGTAGTGACAGAGCTAGTGTTGAAGAAGTATCCAATAGCCTGCTTGAAACCAGATTTTATGGATTTGATCATAACTACCAACGCTGAAGATGCTCTCTGTTTTACGTTAATTTCTTCTTTCCCAACTTTAGTCGCAAAGCCGGTAAAATAATCGATTTTGGCATTGGCACAATACGACAAACGTTGGGAGACACTCATCTCATCAATAAAAATTGTAACAAGTTTTTCGTCTTCTGGAAGCCCAGCAGCTTTAAACTTCAGCAGATTGAGGACCGTCGTGGAAAAGCCTTCTTTGACTGTGATTTTAGAGAGCCAACGTTTGATGGTTCCAATCGAAGGAAGCGTAAAATACTTCCGCATTTGGCGATATGCTTTCGACGAACAGTAGTGTAGAATAATGGACATATTCCGCATTTGCTCCGAACACCTAGCTCCTCTTAATTTTCGTTTTTTGTTACGCTGCAGTTCCAAAAGTATAAGGTCATACATTTCCGATGTTTGGCGTGTAAATAATGATTGCGATCTTTTCGCTTCCGTTTTTAGAAACCTGATTCGAGCTTTTAGCTTTGATGCGTGCTTCTGCTTGGTTTTAATTTTCTTTTTGAGTTCCATGTTTTCCTTCTCCACTTCAATACAATACTCCATAGTTTTAACACCCTTATCTGGATCCATACAATAGTCGTGATCATGTGCGATAAGGTAATTGATTTTCCTTGGATAACATCTGGATTTCGAACTACAGAGAACTTCCAAACATGCTGGCCATGCATCAATCACCACTTCACCGGCTACTTCTATTTCATCTGCCGAATAAAGAATGTCACCGCTGTTTGATTGAGGAACTACCGGTAGTCGTGCTGTATCGGCGTTGCCGAAGCATTGCATTTCTCCTTTTCCTTCGCCAAGTTCACCAAGATTTGCTATAGCAGGACATAGAGATGGACGGGCATGCAAGTACAATCTAGAATAGTAAAGTATCAACATCAATCGGAACAAAACTTCGTTATTCAAACAGACCCTTGGGACTTGTTTAAAGGATTGTAAAAATCGGAATCGCGAAAATGTTTTGAGCAAATCAAGCTATTTTTTGAAATCGACGGATTCCGGCAGAATTCAATCCAACTTTCGACGCCTCTGAAAATGTTAATTTTGGTTTTTTTGTCGTTATAAATATTCATATCAAGAATTTACCTGTCCCCAGAAAAAAATTTGAAGAATGTTGTTGATGAGACACCATACTTCGAACTGGAACATCCTGATACAGCGCATGCTAATCGTCCCATTTTTCCAATTTTGCACCGATTTTCACAAAAAATGAAAACCAAAATCCACAAGAAAATCAAGATTATCAGCAATTTGTGTTGGCTCGTGCCTTGTTGTGTTTGCTTTACTTATGAATGGTCATGTCATGTTGACAGATCGTGTGTTACTTTGCGTCGCGTAAATTAACAGTGTAGTAGTAGCCTTTTTCACCACGGAGACGCTGAAGGTGTTCGCCAGAAAAAAATGTAAAAAAAATGGTAAAATGTTTACTAGAAAATACTTAAATGTTTCATAAAAAACATGAAATGTTCCACTAACTTCAGCGATTTTTATGGACCATTTGATGTTGGCAGCGTCGATCTTGTTTTCCGTACTGAGTACCAATGCTACCGACGCCAGGAAGGCAGCTCCCACACCTGGACCCTACCTATCGACCCATCAACTCATGAATCGGGGACCAACGGCAGAGATTTTATGCCTCAGAAAATCTCGGCGATGCCGACTGGGCTTGACTTCCCATTACATATGGTTAAAATCACCCGTTATTACCTCCAGTATAGGTATCGTTGAATGGTTGTCTTTCAGACACGTTTTCCATCCCAGCAGGAGTTCCGCAAGGCAGTCTGCTGGGCCCTTTGCTTTATAGCATCTACACTTCCGACATTCCTCCCCTCGGAGACGGTTTCACGGCTCTGCTTCGGTGAAATGGTACCTTCGACAAAGAGAAAGGGTTGCCGAAATAACATATAACCCAAGCAACACACATGTTCTATAACAGTTTATATAAGCTTTGTATGACTGTTTTTGGTTATATAAAAGTTTACTCAATTTAATTCTATGCATTTGTGTTACGTGGGTAATCTGTAATTCTACTGATTTTTTAGAGTGAAAAGGGAGTATCAAAACTGTCAGAGACGTATTCTCTTTTGCTTCTTTCATGTTAATCTCTTTAATTTGTTTTCAGTTTTATGTTTGCCAGAAGTATAGTACAATATACAAACTCTCAATCACTATTATAAGAAAATATGTATTGGATTCAATTCATAAATTATTTATAAAAATATCATCATATAATTTCAGTACAAAAAACAAAAACTGAAAAGACTTTTTTGAGCAAACACACAGATTCAAATTTGATTACCCATAGTCTTACGTCAACAATTGCAAAACTGGACCATTAAATACATGTTGGGCCCAGAGACGTTAAATGTCAAACACTGAACCAAACGAGCAAAGTAAATAAACATTACTGTTCGCTCAATTCACCAGAAAGGAGTATTTTTCTCAATGATGATAACAGTGTTCAATTATTTTCATGAAATATTTGATATCTGATATTTATTTATTTATTGTTGATTTAATTAAACACAACATTAATTAGTGATAAACAAACATTTCGAATCGTAACGTTTTATTTAGTTTTATGGAAATAAAATTGATTGCGCTGCAAGCAAAACAGTAACACATGACATAAGTTATACTGTCATGGAGCGACTGCCATCTCTCGTTTTCGCTTTATTTTTGCAAAATGTTGCCGCGCACTTAATTTTTATTCATTTCCGGTCGAACGTTCGAATTTTTTAAACAGCATTGCGACACTGTATGAAAGTCACTTGAAGCCACTCGAAGAAACATGGTTGCCAGTGACATTGCCTAAAGATCCATCAAAAACCGTGCTGCTGTTTCGACAGAAATTTTCATTCAACGTCTCTATCAATGTCTCTGGTTGGGCCCTAAATGGAAAAAAACATCCGTTAGGAGAGTGAAATCAGTGCATACATTTTAGAAATGTGGAATGGCTTCAACATGTTTTAATTAACGAAACAAACATTGAAAAATATAATAAAAATAATCTACCACCTCGCTTGCTTCCGCCTTTTATCTTTCAATCTCCCTGTCAACGAACAATGCACCGTGAGTCACAACAACATTGTCTACCGGGAATCACTCTCACTTCCAATAAGCCTGAATGAGAGAGTGCTCTTCTGCCACTACTTAACCAATGAATGCGTATAATAGTGTGTTTACACTTACATAGCTGGGATGTGTGTTAGCAGAGCCAAGGACAACACCCGTATGCTCCCCCAAACCTCTCCCTGTGCCTTCATCACACTCCGAACTACAGTAGTAGATGTTACACTTGTTCTCTCTCTATCTCACATGAGTCCCAAAACCTTCAGGAAACTCTCATCAGCTCTCCAAAGCTCTCCAAAGAACTAGCAAAATACGAGAGTACATTAGTGTCTGAGCGACCTTTTCGGCTACCGCGAACTTCCACCCTCAACTTCCGTCGTCGTCGCGAATGCATCTCGTCGTTGTCCCGACAATGTGATCGCGCTGCGACATTAGCTAGCTATGGGTTCACACCACCCACCAACCCCCGGGTTATCAACCGACTATGCATGGTTGAAGGGTGCGATCTGCTACACTGCTACTGCTACGGCGAAACGTCCTCGAAGGTAGGCATGTATGTACGAGGAGCATGTAGCGCTGGTTGTTGGCACTATACTCACCACGCACATCGCCCGTGACAACACTTATCCAATATGTATATAAAAGACGATCGAATTATAATCCCCAGTCACAGAACAATACTGATGCACACAGTCTTGACTCGTCTTGTCAACTGACGAGTTCGATATTTGAGTACTGACACTGCGCCGTCATTACCGCCGCGTGTAAAATATTTCGCGAACGCCCGCCTGTCGGTGTTACAAGTGTTTGCGCGCGCTCGCGGTTTCCCCTCAATCGAACTGGGTGCAAAAGTTTAGAACGCAGTCTCCAGAATTATCCCAGGATGCAGCTTCCATTGGCGATCGGTTTGATCTGCTTGGTGCGGATCACGTTGGCAGTTCCGGCGGGCCGAAACAGCTCCAGTTGCAATTGCGGTAGGTGTAGCTCGCCGAGTGTTGAATGATGTCCTGTGTTGCGATCAAGTGTGGTGATTATCCTGAACTAGGATGTGTGTTGTTGATCCGGAGACCTACTTTGTGGGCTGGCAGAATAATACCGAAAACAAACAACGGGTGGTGCAGGCAAGGCACCTATTTGATGCAGTTGCAGTTTGCAGAAATCGAAAGTGAAAGGTTAACAATGTAAACAACAGCGCTCCGTGGAAGCCCATCGACGCGGCAGAAGCAGCAGCGTGGTGGGCTAGGAATGCAAACTGTTTTTTTGTTGTTGTTGTGGTCGGTGTTGGAGAACGTGAGCGTACGAAGTGATTCATCAATGGGGTGAAGGTCAAGATATGCTAAATAGCGGAAAATATTCTCGATGATGTTTGGCGAAATTCCGAAGTAAAAAACTTCCCTGGAAGGTTACCTTAGCTTCTTCAGGCAACTATTTGAACATTATTGGGAAGCAAAATGAACTTCACTAGCATGTTACCTTAACATTCTCAAGAAGGTTCATACGTTTTTCATAAAACATTCCTGGGATATTTTAAATGTCCCTAGGTTGTACCCAAGTAACCAATAAGCCCGCTTATCGCCCTTTTTGAAATTTACAGCTGATATACGGCTGATATAAAGTTTGGAAGTTCTATATTAACCTTATATTGCAAAAAGGGTGATTATCGTGCTATTTGGTTACGTGAGATTCCTGTACATTTACAGGAAATTCTTTGAAGATGCAGCGTATCAATTCTTCAACAGTCTTTGGAAGATTGTCAAACTTTCAGTAATATGTTCTCTGAACTGTTGTGAACCTCTTACTTTGAAGAAGATTGTTATTATGAAGTTCTTTGTAAGTACTATAAGCGCACATACCTATTAAGTTTACTTAGAAAATTAATGAACTATATATACATGAAAGTGTTGCCTGACCTCCTAAAAGAGGATGTCTCAACTTACTTGGGCTTCGCTAAGAAGTTATTAGAAATTCCAGTAGAAGATGTCTGCAAATCTTCTGAGGGATTCATAAGCGGCCTCCCGTAGCTCAGCCGCTAAAGGCACAACTACAAATCAAGATCATGGAGGTGGCTGGCTTCGATTCCCGGTCCGTTCTAGTTGGTAAATTTCTCGACTTCCCTGGGCATAGATAGAGTTTGATTGTACTTGCCGCACAATTATACTAATGCAAAAATAGTAAAGGCATCGAAAGCTCTCAATGGACTGTGGAAGTGCACCTAGAACAACACTAAGTTGAGAGCACGCAATAAGCTAATATGCGATAAGTAATAAGAATCACATGCAAATAAGATGTGAAAACTTCATATTTCTTGGAAAGTTCCACCTCTTCATCTTAGGACAGTTCCATAAACTTCAAGGAAAATACAAAAACATTAAAGAAGTTTGGAGAAATTTTGGGAAATTCGATTTCGAAAAAGGCTGGTCAATCATACACTATTCAAATTTTTTTTATATTTCTCAAATATCTGCGTGAACAACAGGAAATGAAAGAAACAAATTACTCAGTATACGAGTTATAATGTCTTCTTTTTGCTTCATAGTCGAGCAGATTTTGTTGTTGGAAAATCAAGGAAATCTACTCAGTGATCTACGATTTTTGAAAATTTAAGACAGAGACGCAATATTTTGAGTGCAACGAAAATTATGAGAGGTGTTAGTTAGTAAATTTAGTAAATCTACCAAAATGGATTGGATTGAAGGGAACCGAACTCTATGGTACATTAAAGTGACAATTGAGTTCAAACTTAAGCTTGATGGAAGCGTTGGTCTTGCAGGATTAGTTGATGTAGAATGAACTGGTAGCGATTCCAATTCTAGTATAGTTTTCAAATTCTGAAGTGGTTCAATCAACTGGATGACTAGAAAGCAGAAATTCGTAAGCTTTCAGTCAGTCAGTTTCCCGAGTCCAGCCTCTTCCAGCTACCTTGGTTGTTGAAACTAATGCACGGAATTGGCCATGCGGTCACTGACCCAGTGACGATTCACGATTGTTTGTGTCATGCTGGCATCTAAAACAGGGAGGCAACAGATCAAGACATCGATACTCGGTTCAACTTTAAGCGAGTATTGGTATAATAGAAGTTAAGTTCTGTTAGACGAAATCAATGATCCTTATAAGTTTATAAATCACCAATTTCTTCACAACAAGCAAAATATTTTCTTGGCAACAAGGCGTAATCATGGCAACCACATATAACATTTTGACAGCATTCTAACTATTGTAATTTCAGGGAAAAATTACGAAGCAACTGATAACCGTAGCATGCTACTAAAGCTGATAATCTGACGCTAAATGCTAATTTTTCTCTGAATTGGCAATACTTTAACCAAAGATAGAGCGATAGTAGTAAAATTTAATATTTCTCATTGTTATTCACCATAATCTCAATGCAATCTTTAAACCATTTACACAACCTCTAAAATTTCTACAAGTCAGCAATCATTTCCATTTGAAGCCTAGGCATATTTTGTGGCTATGAATTGAAATGGAGGGTGTTCTTAATCATTGGTGCCTCCTATAGCTCAGTCGGTAAAGGCGCAGCTACAAAGCCAGATCATGCTGGAGGTGGCTGGGTTCTATTCCAGGTCTGGTCTTGGTATTTTTTTCGGGTTGGGAAATTTCTCGACTTCCTTGGGCATAGAGTATAATTGTACTTGCCACACAATTATACTAATGCAAAAATGGCACAGGCATCGAAAGCTCTCAGTTAACAACTGTGAAAGTGCATCTAGAATACTAAGTTGAGAGCACGTAATATGCTAATATGCGATAACCAATAAACTTGAAATGAGAAGAAGAAGAATATGATTATTTTTGTATCTTTATTAAGGAGACTTCCAGCCCTGGGCTGGTTCGTCCCCGCTGGAATATGAAGAAGAAGATGGTCTGAATGATTTTGAATATATTTTATTCCAACTATAGTAAAGCACCCTAATGGGACAACAATACAGGCCTTTCCTCATGAATTGGAGCTCGTCTACGCATACCAACAAAACTATCGGATAGAGGAAGCTTTCCCTAATTGGTGGGGTACTGGGTTTGCATAGGTGAGCTTTTAATCACGCGAAAGACCACAAGATGCTGATGGGGTTAAAAGGCCTCGTTGATGATGATTTGAACATAAATCTCAGCCCTACACACTAACTTATTTTTACCGAACTCAGTACGAGACGAGATTAGAACAGCTGAGTGCTCGGCGATCGTTTCTTTAATTTCAACAAATGCTGAGCACTCGGTAGTCAAGCCAGACTTGCGAGCTGTCAAATAAAACTGAATAGACTGCATTAGCGTGCTGAAAACTCAGTACTCAGTATCTGAAGCTGAGTAGCTCAGTAGTTTTTTTCAGACGAAAGTCAGTAATTCGGAATGTTGTTTACTCCATAATTACTGAAAATCAGCTTTTTTCGGAAATTTCTGACCTACAACTAATTTAGGTGATTTTATGTTTATGATTAAAGTCAACTATTCATCTAAAAATTATCGGTTCTACTGGCATGAAAACAGCCAAGAAATCGCGGTAGGTGGACTTCACCACGCACTGCACTAGTCGGGGGATTCCTGTATAGAAATATCTGGAATAGAATAGACGTTCGCCTTGATGTAAGTCTCGCCGTTCATCACGACGCACCTCGGTTTCGTCAGCCACTCCCGGTACAGCTTCCTGGCACGGGGTTTAGCCACCGACGAACCGACATGCCACTGGAGCAATTTGTTTGTCCGCAATTCGATTTGCCAAATGAGCGATTTGATCTGTCCAACGGGGTGAGACGCAAACCCAGTCAATATAAATTTTACGTGTGTTCGTGTCCTTGCTCATGAATTGACGCGATCGGATGAGTAAATGGCGTAACGTATTTTAAATATGGTGTCTTCGGCAAGATTCTTTTTTTTTTTTCCTTTGGTTTGTTTTTTCCGTCGATCTTGTTTTCCGTGCTGAGCACCAATGCTACCGACGTGCCAGGAAGGCAGCTCCCACACCTGGACCCTACCTATCGACCCATCAACTCATGAACCGGGAACCAACGGCTTTACTTCCCATCCGAAGGAAGGCGTGATCAGAGATGTTATGCCTCAGAACATCCCAGCGGCGCCGACTGGGATTGAACCCAGACCTGCTGGGGTGAGAGGTAATCACGCTTACCACTACACCACGCAGTCGGATTTTTCACGACGACGCACAACATTTTTTGGCGGATCTACTCTTGCTCCGATGCTTTCTCTACATCCACTTGACAGATTGTGTTGAAATTCTGCCAGCGTAAACATTATACTCTTAGCTAGTTTCAGTTATAATTTCGTAAATTCAATACAAAACATATAAACAATACAAACTAATCAATATATCTCACTTTTATCGAACACAATTTTTAGTTCTTTAGCTTATACAAGTTCCTTAGTATAACAGTTAAGCAGAGCTTATAAGAATTTCCACACATTAAAGGTGTTTAAGTTATTTTAAATAAAAAGTGAGAAAGGGAAATCCGGATAAAACCGGAAACCTAACGATTTTCACAGGTGTTCATTGTTTTTACATTATGCATCGACCACAAACCTTTTTTAACTAGCTCGTTTATTTACTAGGCTCAGTCGTGTGTATCACTTTGCGGAGTCAAAAATCAGTAATGTTTGAATTTTCATTTTAAACAGCAGTAGTTCTAGGTTAGTATTGGGTATTGGGAAGGAGCTAGGTAGGAAACTGGTTTCTGAAGCCTCCTTCAGATACTACTCTTGGACGGTTGACCGAATCCTGGCTGGGCAGGGAACCTACAAACTTTACAGAACCTTACTTTGACTCTAGATGCACCGATCCACGGGATCTTACGATTACAGACTTTGAAAAAAAAACTTATTTTTTATAATTTTAATAAGAAAATTATGTGTACTCAGACGAAACAGTGTGTGGGTAAAACCGACTTATCGGGAACAAATCAAACACATATAAAATGACACGAGGCATCTACGAAAACCAAAATTGAAG